GAGGCGGAGGAGGAGGGGGAGGAGGGGGAGAAGGCGGAGGAGGCGGAGGAGGCGGAGGAGGCGGGGGAGGCGGAGGAGGCGGAGGAGGCGGAGGAGGAGGAGGCGGAGGAGGAAGCGGAGGAGGAGGAGGCGGAGGAGGCGGAGGAGGAGGAGGAGGAGGAGGAGGAGGCGGAGGAGGAGGAGGAGGCGGAGCGCGGGGTGACGTAACAAGCTTTCAACGCCAAGGCTCCCAGTACGAACGGTGGTGTGAGTAGTATTTTCGGTCAAGTTCCTGCAGCGCTCTTTCCGTTTCCGTACTGGCCCAGGTCTAATAGTTTTCGGCCCATCCCGCCATTGTGCTTGGTTGTGGGTGGGTATGAAGCCTATTGGATGTTCGTTGGGATCTCGTAGGAGGCCTCTCGGGGGTCTCTTGGAGGCCGTTTTGAAGCCTCATAGGGGCCGTTCGGTGGCTTCTTAGGGCCCTTTGGGGGCCGCCTCTTGGAGGCCCCTTGGGGCCTCTCGGGGCCCCATCGGCGCCTCTTGGGGCCTGCTGGGGGCCTCTTGGGGCGGACGGGTTGTATTTTCAGTTAGTGTTCCCTCTATTGGGCCCCTTTTTGCCTCTTGGAGGCCTCTCGGGCTACCTTGGGGTGGTCTTGGGGGCTCTTGGGCCATCTTGGAGCGTCGGAAAACAGATCAGGCGAGAACGCCCAAATCTTTTGAACACTATCGGAAAGCCACTGATTTTTGCCTCCTGGGGTCCACTTGAGAGGCCTACAGGCCTCCTAGGCCATCTTGGGCGTCTTGGAACGAACTTTCGGCGACCCGGGGCCCACTTCGGTCGTCTTGGGGAGCACGGGGGGCCCTCTTGGCCTGTCTTGGGGGCCTCGTGGGCCCCGAAGAGTCATGCGACAAGATGCGCTGGAGCCCAGGGGGCACGCAGGAAGCCCCAAGAGATTTGAGAATTCGGGACCCAGGCTCCGTAAAGATTCCCTCAGGTGTGTCTCAGGGATTGGACAGAGTCCTGAGGACACGCCGAGTCCGTGCCCAGCGGCACGGTGGCGGGTCAAGAGGGAACAGCCCACCCCCACACCCGCCAGGATTTTTTCATTCATCCAGAACGTCTGTACACGTAGTCGATGCTTTCTGGCTACAAATTGTTCAGTTCGCCACATTTCTGGTTCATATGTGAAGCCGCTTCTGCATGGTATGCAGCTCGCGTTGTCGATTCTATAAGTGCGCCGTTGCATGTGCGCGAAGACGCGATTTGAGGTTCTGGGCGTTCATTCTGTACACTGTTCGGTTTGTGGGAAACGGTGTTGCCCGCCGCTCCGCGGCTGCGTTGTTTGCAATTTGCCGGGATCACCGCCCAGGCAAAAGCAGTTGAGGGCGTTCGTCGAGTCGCACGCCCCAGAGAAGCTTTGAACATCTGAGGTGTGACGTCGTGGTAGTAGTGTGTGCTAGGGGGGGGGCTTGGGCTGCCTTCAGAGAAGAGCCCCCCGCTCCGCAGGGTGTCCCGGAGCCCTGTGCCCTCATCCGCGGCCCTGGGCTGAGAGCCCGGCGCGCGCGGCCGCGGGCGCGCCCCGCAGCAGCCCGGGGTGCCCCGGAGTTGCGGGCCCTCGCCTCTGGCGCTGCTTCGTTCTGTGTTTGAGGGGCATCCGTCAAGACAACGACACTGGGTACGATCGAAACCGAGGCATCTGGCGTCTCGAAAGAATCGAGCCGGAGGTTTTTCATAGGTTTCAGCCACTGTGGGTCTTCTGCGAGCCTCGGGGCCGTCAATGAAACGACTCGGTGTGAAACACTGGTCCCAGGGGAGTGGGTCGAGACGTCGGGGGCGGTCTCGAGAAGATTGGAACGCTGGATGTTTGGGAATGGGTGCGGAAAGTAATATTAGCCCTGAAATTACTCCGACGGAAGGACCCCACATGAGAATTCTCTGGGCGAATCTGGAAAAAGCCCTCACCGTCGTCCTCGTGGTTGGTGAGGCGTCCTGGCTATCTCTTCTGCGTATATTTCTTCTCGCCCTGGCGCGGGCCCTCCCCCCGCTCCCTACGTTGCCCCCGAACTCGCCCTCCTGTTTTGGCTCCGGACATTCAGAAAGTGGCCCGGGAGTGGTGCTCTGGGAACACGAAAAACACGAAGTGGCCTACAGTTGGCTCCGGGCATTCAAAATGTGGCCCGGGAAGTGTGTTCTGGGAGCACGAAGAACACGAAGTGGCCTACAGTTGGCTCTGGGCATTCAAAATGTGGCCTGGGAATGGCGTTCTGGCAGCGCGAGAGCCCAAAAGTGGCGACAGTTACAGAAATTGGATGACCCGCTCGGATTAGTGACATTATCCGCGGGCCCCATGGGGAGGGGGCTCCCGCTTGAGACTTCCTCGCAATTCACTTACAAATGTGGCCTGGGAATGGCGTTCTGGCAGCGAGATAGCCCAAAAGTGGCGACAGTTACAGGAATTGGATGACCCGCTCGGATTAGTAACATGATCCGCGGGCCCCATAGGGAGGGGGCTCCCGCCTGAGACTTCCTCGCAATTCACTCGCAGACGAGGCCCAATGCGAGTGAGTGAGTGAGTGAGTGAGTGAGTGACTGACTGACTGACTGACTGACTGACTGACTGGTGATGATGAGGATGATGATGATGATGATGATGATGATGATCATCATCATCATCATCATCATCATCATCATCACACTCTCTCACGCGCACACTCATCATCATCTTCATCATCATCATCATCATCATCATCATCATCATCATCATCATCACATGTGAGTGCTGATGAGTCAGTGAGTGAGTGAGTGAGTGAGTGAGTGAGTGAAAGAGTGGGTGAGTGAGTGAGTGAGTGAGTGTGTGAGGGATGATGTGTGAGTGAGTGAGTGAGGAATGAGTGATGATGATGATGGTGGGTTCCTGTTCCTGCGCGGGGTGTCCAGAGAAAACAAGAACCCCACTTTGGAGGTGGGGAACTATACAGGGTGGATCCCCCCGCCCTCACAGTGGGGAGGGGACAGCACTCCAGTAGGCGAAAGATGTGTTATTCTTCCCCCGCGGCTGCGGCGGCTACTGAGCTGCGGCGCCTCGGTGTCTGTTGCCTGCCAAGGTTCGCATGATGTCGAGAGACGTGGCTCCGGTGATCTTGGGGCGTTCAGGCATCCATTCCCCAAACGTGTTCCAGCATAAAAGGGTTCTTACCTGCTGATGTGGTTGCTGCTCGTTACTACTGATGATGAGGTTGCTGCTCGTTACTGCTTTGACGATGAGGTTGCCGTTGATGTGGCTGCTGCTGAAGTCGCCGTTGTTGCTCATGATGCGGTTGCTGCTTATGTCGTCGTTGTTGTTCATGCAGCTGCCATGTCGTCGTTGCTGTTCAGGTGGTTGTTATGTTGTTGTGGCTTTTGTTACGAATGTTGTTTACATGGTCTTGTTGTTAGTCATAGCATTATTATTCGTATTATCATCATGTTCATTGTGTAGTTGATTCGGCTCTTTCTGATGCTGTAACTGTTCCTCATCTCGTTGCTCATGTCGTCGTTGCTCGTCCTGCGATTCTGTTTTTGTTGTTTCTGCTGTTCCACCTGTTGTGATTTCATCGTTTCGCTCATTCCGCCAGCTCATTTCGCATTACGGTGGCTGCATGTGGTGTGCTCGTACGCTTGGAGAACGATAGGGCAGGCAGGACTGTCCTAGAGGAGATCTTGGGAGATCTGGTTCGCACCTTGCCGAAGAGAGCCGATAGTCTGCCCCACCGGACTCCAAGATGGCTCAAGAGAGCTCCACCAGAGTTTCGAGACGTACCTGGGTTGTGGGTCAGAGTCCTCATGGATGCTTCTTGAGGTCTCCTCGGAGTGCTCTCAGGAGCCTCAGTTTTGGTGCCTCTGGGATGCCTGTTGGGGGCTTCTTGGGGGCTCTTGGAGCTTCTTGGAGGCCTGTTGGGGATTTAGGGGGCCTCTCTTGGGGCCTCTTGGGGCGCTCTGGCCTTCGAGAAGTGGCGACCCTCGTGAGGTTGGCGCTCATTCTGCTGGGCCAGAGCCCTCTGCCAGCTTTGTGTGCCAGGTGTGGGCCGGGCGCCTTGTCTTTGGTAAAATGGCGACCCTCACGAGGATGGTGCCCATCCTGTTGGGCCGGAGGCCTCCGCCTGTTTTGTGGGCCAGTTGTGGGTTGTGTGCTCTGATCTTCGGAAAGTGGCGACTGACAAGGGTTGCGCCCACCCTGCTGGCTCTGTGGGCCAGGTGTGGGCCGGGCGCTGGAAGCCTCTGTTGGCTTTTCGGGGCAGTTGTGGGCCGGGTGTCGTTGTTGTAATTGTTCCCCAATTATGTTTTAGCATCATGAGTTCGTAGTTTACAACAAGGTATACGTTATCGGAGCCCTTTGCCGGCGTTGATGCTGTTGCTGTTGATGTCGTCGTTGTTGCTCATGCGGTTGCAATATTGCATTTTCTTATTGCGACGTCGTTGTTGAGGGCTTGTATTGTTAATGCCTGTTTATGGGTATGCGGTTTCCCAAGGTATGTTTTAGCAAAAGAGGCTCCTACCTGGCATTGGGAATTGCGTTATCGGAGACCTCTGCCGGCTGCGCTGATGTGTTGTTTGTCCAGGTCGTTGCTGTCCATGTGGTGGCAATGCTGCAGTTTGCTTTAATGACTTGTTTATTTCATGGCTTTGCGGATGAGGGCTTGTATTGTTAATGGTTGTCTATGGTTATGTTTTTATGGCCGATGGGCCGGTCGCTGTGGTATGCGAAAAGTGTCGACCCTCAGAGGAATGGCTGCCATTCCTCAGAGGAGGCCTCCGAGCCACCAGGGGAAGTGCCATTCAATGGCACTTCCCCTGGTGGCTCGGAGGCCTCTGCTGGCTCTGTGGGCCAGTTGTGGCCTGGGTGCCTTGGCTCCCACCCCCCGGTCGACCTGTCAGTGCAAGTGTCCATGCGCTCCACCCTTCTCCCGAAGGGGTACCCGTACCACCCTCACCCTTAGCCAGGAGTCCCTGTATCAACGGGTCGGAGCTGGGAGGAGGAGAGGAGAAGGAGGAGGAGGAGGAAGGGAGGGGGGAGGGGAAGGGGGAGGGGGAGGGGGGGGGAGGGGGAGGGGGAGGAGGAGGGGAGGGGGAGGGGGAGGGGGAGGGGAAGGAGGAGGAGGTGGAGGTGGAGGTGGAGGTGGTGGAGGAGGAGGAGGAGGATGAGGAGGAGGAGGAGGAGGAGGAGGAGGAGGAGGAGGGGAAGCCATTGGCCGAGGAGGGGCTGGGCCGTCGTCGTCCCGTCGGTCGCCCTAGTCGGCCTGGGCTCGCGCGCAGCGCGCCATGGGCGCCGCAGCCGCGGCGGCGCGAGCCGCCACGCCCCGAGGGGGCGAACCCGCGTGGCATCGCCGCGCCCGTCAAGTCCGCAGCCAAGATCGTCTTCTGGTCCGACTGGCAGCGGCAGCCAATAGATTCAGCCAGCACCACAGTGCGCAGCAACCCCAGCGCAGCAACCCCTGCGCAGCAGCCCCAGCAGCCCCAGTGCCACGACGGCTTCCGAAGGTCAAGGTAAGAGTGGCATCAATACGGGGGGGCAGGCGCCAAGGTGGACAGCACATCGCGCCGAAGGGTCCACGGCGATAGGCCCCCCCGTGGGAGGACAACCTTAGCCATGGAGAAGTTCTTCGAGGGCGAGAAGCAGGTACAACGACAACTATTACCAGGACAACTACGACAGTCGCCAGGACAAGAAAGGTTCAGCGACACGTTCGGCTTCGAGGAGGGCCAGACATCATCGACGAGTTCATCCCGAGCACGAAGGCGAGGGCGGTCAACCACGAGGCCTTCTCCTACCCCCCCTCACGAGTCGGAGCTACGCCGCATGTGGAAGCATACCAAGGCGGCTCGACTCGGGGGGCTCGCTGATCAACTTACTGCTGCCCGACAAACAGGAGTGGATGCAGGACGACTGATCGACGAGTTGGAAATCACAAAATGTATGATCAACCTGACCATCGAGCCGAACGAGAGGATCAATATCTACAGAGAGGACCTTTACGTGGTCAACAAAAAGAGGAGAGCGATCGCAGAAAAAGTCAAATAAGGGAAAAACAAACTGGGAAAGTCCGACGTGGATGCCGTCAAGATCAAAGCTCTGATTACGGAAGCACAAGGTCAGCGAGACATTCGCGAACGATTAGAAGCAGGAGCCGAACGCTCAAGCTGCGAAGGAGACGGAGAAGCTACATCGGACGAAAGCATGGGCGACAGGAGGACTCGCGATGAGACGCCACATCTACGTCGGCAAAGTCAGAAAGCAGAACGATGCCAAGCGGACGAAGGACAACACGTAACACGGTTGATCGAGGAATTGAACCAGCGTCTGGACATGCAGCAGGAATGGTACATCCAGCACCGGCGCCACCTGCATTTCTTCCACAGCGAACGCAATGCAAACGTCCAAAAGGACGAGCAGCGCATTCAAACAGATAACGAAGATTTCCAGGCCATGAAACATGAGTACAGGGTGCTGAAGGTGGAGATGGCCGCAAGGGGTCTCGACAGCACGGAGAAGAAAAAGACAATAGACAAAAGACAACCTGAAAAGCAGCATGCAGACATGGCCTGGAAGCTACAGAATGAGCGCGCGGAGAAGCCTGAGAAACAACGAGGACTACTCAGAGAGGAACACGAGCACCACGAGGAGAAGCTGCAGGAGGAGGCGATTATCCACTTCGGGGAGACGCAGTCCAAGATGACGAGGGAGCACGAACTAATTGAGAAGGACATATAAGCAAGACGCGAATAACAGCTCCAATTTCAACGAGCCCTTCATCATAAGCACGAACTGATCCAACTCGAACAGCAACTACGTCGACATAGTGTCCTAGCAGAATACCGCATCAACCACGAGATGATCCGTGTGTAAGACGCTCAGACCGCAACGTGGGAGTCAATCCGCAAGATGGCAGAATATGAACGCGCACGCCGGCATGAGAACGAGAGATCACAACACCAGGCACAAGAGTGGCTAAGAGATGAGCAAATTACGTGGCAGGTGATGGCACATAAATCGCAGCAATACGCCAACAACGATGACGAGCACGAAGAACAGCGCAGAAATTACCATCAACTCACACAGCAAGAAGCATTACAATACGAACGACGACAACAGCATCAAGCACGCGAGCTCAGGATGCAGTTTCACGCAGGACTTCACCAACAACAAGTCATCGTGACGGAGGAAATTGCACCACCAGATTGCCAACACCGGGTTTCCGAACAGGCGCTAAAGAAGGAGCTGATTAAGAACGAGGAGATGGAAGCTGAGATCATCGGCGAAATGGAGCTCGAGATTGGCAGGGACATAGTAGAAGAAACGCGAAGACAATACCTGGCATATATCGAGCATCAGAGAATCGACGAGGAGATGGAGAGCGCGCTGCATTCCATCATACCAGGCGAGGACACCCAGAACTGCTCGAAATCAGGCCACGCAGAGAGGAGTGAAACAGCAGCGTCGACAGCGAGAGGAAGGGCGCAGGGACAACGAGCAGCGCGCCAGACAGTGACCTGAGCATCAATCAGACTGGCTCTGCATTACGACTTCCAGCAGAACGAGCAACACCATTTCCACCGCCAGACGACCCAACAACCGCCGAAGCACTTATCAGTCTCGACGCGCCACGCACGAACGACAGTCAGAAGGCGCCCATGCCAAACCTCGACCACGACGACGATCTTCGAGACCACATAGACGACGCCGAAACGATGCTGACCCCGACGCCACCAGCAAGTCCGGCACCACCTGCCGAACAACCAACCCCAGACTACGACCCAGGGAAATTCGTCTTCCCACTAGTACGGGCACTTTCAGCACCACCCGATATCAACGGGGGCGACATCTGCTCGAATCGACGGCCACCGCGACCAGATTGGTTGATATCAGCCGAGACGAAGAGTGTGAGACACCAACAACACCACGACGGATGACCATCGATAGTATCACGCCTACAGTTCGAATCCAGCACACTGAGCATCCACCTCGCTTCCACCTCGGAACACCCGACAGATTTCAGTCATCACCGCCTACAAGAGCCAAGTCAGCTCTCAGGAGTAGTAACTCGCGCGAACGACCAACGCGCATGGTGCGCATGCGTGACGCAGGAGATGGATTCACCGACCCAACAGACCGAGTGCCGATCCCAATTTGCATCCAGGATGGGCCTGACGACCCCACCTCGACAAAACACTGGTTAGGACTGAACCCGATGGGGGGCTGCTGGCCCAGACGGGGAGTCCGACTACTTCACCAGCAAGCAGAGCCTGTGGTCGCGTCCAAAAGATCACAGGGAGCACGCCTGGGAGCAATCTCGGCACTGGCACTCAGCCTGAGGACCGATGCCGATCGACCCGCGCGGTGACCTCAGACAGCCCGAAGGCCCCGCCACATGCCCCACTGGGGGGGAATCAGTGGTCGGGGCGTCACCGCGGCGCACGCTTTGGGCCGCCCGCCTCAATCCCCCGACGTCGACACAACCGAGCCGACCAACCAATGGCGCATGTGCGAACCAAAAGAGAAAACACAACAATAACATACACAGCGGAGCTACACCCGATTTCCGAGAAGTGGAAGCGCCAAAAGCTGTGGGATGTCTACTGGCGCGGCCACCTCGACCACGGGCCAGGCCACGCGACTCCGAGGATGGGAACCTCTAGCCGAGCCGACCCCACAAAAAACCAACCGAAGAAACAACGCTGGATCTCGGAGCATCCCCGAGACTAGCACTGCAACGCCACTACTTAAGACAGGACGATTCATTAGCTCAAAACCACCGAGGCGGGGGCCAGCGAGACCAGTGGCGCACAGTCCACCACGACCCGGCCGACCTCTTGCACATAGCATGCACAAGGCGACAAACCACTCGTGCACGGAGACGCCGCATGTTTGGGAATTTTCCAACAAGAAGGCTACCACATGCTCTTTATTGGAGCGAGTTCGACAACATTGAGGAAACGTTCCTCAATGACCTGCACAAACGACATGATACATTGCAACGACCGCGATGACGAGGAGGGCAGTCACGACGCGAAGATCGAGGCCCGACTCGACGAAGCAAGCCTACGACAAACGCAACGCGAACAACGACCAACGCGACTTAGTCAACGACTACGTCAGACACAGCTACCACAACCACCAGTCATACACTTGCACAACCGATTCAGTGGTCTAGCAGACGCGACGACCGACATTGACGATGACAACGATGACACACGCGTCATCCACCACCAACCAACACGCGCACACGTCCACGCTGTCCCGGCGAGGCAAGGATCAAACTTCGAGGCGGGCTCGAAGGGCGGGGGGGGGCAGGGCGAGCGCTGCCCGCGCTTGCCAGGGGGGGGGGTGGCGGGGGGCAGGGGGGGGGGGGGGGTTGGGCGGCCACTGCCCGCGCCCCCGCGGTCCGCCCTGGCTCGCCACCCCCGCCATCCCCACGGCGGAGGTGGAGCTCGCCCGAACGCCCCGCAGGCGGAGCACAGGACAGACGCGGCATCCCCTACCGAAAGCAGAAGCAAGCACAAGGCCTGGGGTTCGCCCCCACCGAGGGAACTGTGACCCCTAGCCATAGCGGGACGAGGTGGGACAGCCACGAATCCCAGTTGAAGTCGGCGCATGGAGGCCTTACAAGTGCGCCCACCACCTATGCGAAACAACCAGCAACAACCCGACCACACACCGACCATACGATAAACACGCCGACCAGGCAAGCACAAGGCCCGGGGTTCGCCCCCACCGAGGGCACTGTGACCCCTAGACATAGCGGGGCGAGGTGGGACAGCCAAGAACCCGATTTGAAGTCGGCGCATGGAGGCCTCATAAGTGCGAGCGCCACCTACACGCCGAGACTAGCAACAATTCGACCACGCACCGACCATATTCTAAACGCGCCGACCCAGCGATCAACACCCCAAATCTCACAACGACGAAGGAGGAGTTCGCACGACCGATCAGCCGAGCAGTATCACGCGCAACAAGCAGGCTCACAAGACAACCTACTGTACGTATCACAAACCGCTACGGATAAGCCGGCAGTCCTGACAGCATCCCAGGGCACCGGCCCAGTAGCACGACAAAACGACGGCCACCAACAAGCCAGCGCAAGATACACGACCCGCTATGCTACGGTTCCGACAGCCGAGACGACTCCGAGAAGACAATACTCACAAAAACACAGCCAACGCGACCACGAGCACAACCAGAGCTATGCAACCCTTTAGAGTTAAACCAAACAAGGACAGAACCCAAACAACCGACGATTCACCGACCAGCAACCAATCTAATCAACCAAGAAGCAACCCGACAACAAACAATACGCCAACGCAGTACCACCCATCGACAGCTCAACACCAAGTGCGACCTCGGTAACACCAGCAGCTTGAAGACAAGGGTACAAGCACCGCCCGCACCGACACTATACCAGAACGTCCACGGAGACGACCTGCACCCCGCAGCGCGGTACGCCCTCGACCCGGCCCCCATCGGCGACGACCGCCGCAGGACGAAGGATTTCTACACGGATTTGTCCTACAATATCAAGAAGAAAGGCAGCTGCGCTTGGGCCCTCATACTGTTGCGCGGAACAAATATGTTCGAAGAGCGAACGTTCAGAGGCGCATACTACGGCGTCGTCAGCGACAGCCACGCTCTGGGTCTTAGTTGGAGCATATACCAACACAACAGGCGAGATCATGGCAGTAATACAGACACTTATGTGGATAAGCGCGGCCGACGAATCGCAGAACGTAAACATCTTTACAGACTGCAAGACGGTTATCGACATATGCTTCGGCACGGCAGTATCGACCGCAGACCACGATTGCACGCGCGCGCGCCAGCACCATCGCCAGCATCGACCTCCACAACGTGCCAAGCCACGAAGGGATGCCGTGAAACGAACCTGCCGATGGTCTATCAAAGCGAGAACGGAAGAAGCACGAGAAGAACGAGCCGACCAACAATGTGCCGCGGAGCTTCCATTTCGCTACGATTACCAACAAAGGTTATCAATGGGAAAATGCTTGACCATAACAGCCGAGACCGACACGCATGCCCAGCGAATCTGGACAACAACTTCATCTTCGGGAACACGGAGCGCGACGCCAAGCTCAAGTACATGATTGCCCCGACGGAGACTACGAACATCTCAGCGGAGGTCAAGATCAACGTCATGACCTGCAATGTCGAGAGCGCTAGGGGGGCGGAGCCGCCAGTCAAGAAACATATGACTAAAGCACGGAGGTTGACTAACGGATGAGGGGGCCGGTCATGCGACGGCAGCTACGACATCGCGAAATGCACCTGGTTGGGGTCCAAGATGGACGTGACGAGCGACGAGTAGCTACTAGAACGGGTACTACATAATCAGCAGCCCACATCATCATTACAATTGTTGGTGCGAATTGCGGGCCAGCCTTACGTTACCATATGCAACAACACCAATGGGGCCATTTTTTCAGCCATCGGATTGTCATGTTTTCGTAACCAAGCCACGACTACTCACTGTGAAGATCCAGGCGAATGCCTTCGACCACATGGCGCGTGTTGCGCGCGCTCCGCATGAAAAGAAGAACGCTAAATAACGACATGAATTCTGGGATCACCTAACCAAGCAAGCATCGACGTTCAACCCGTCCATCGATGCGAGCGGGCGAGCGGGATCTACGACATCACATTGGGTTGGGTCTGCAAGTCTACAACAGCAACAAGACGAACATGGACTTCGGCTATTTGAATTCGCTGCGTCTGCGCACATGCCTATCGTCAGTGCCCGCAGATCAGACGGCAAAGATCACCGCGCGTGGAAGGATGCCCACGGACATGGACACCGCATCAACTACATAATGTTAAGCGAACGATTGCATCAAGCTGTGACAACATGCTTGACGACGCCTGACCTCGAGACGATAAGAAAAGCAGACCAAGGCAGACCAACCACGAGAGGATCATACACCAGTGCTTGCACAAGTGGCTCGCCAAATATCGACCAGGATCAAGGAGAAGCTGTTCCCCGAGAACGATGGAACAAAGCTGCCGGGCGAGGAGGCGATCAACACATTCAAGTAGCTGCTCGAAGCTACCGCGGCCCCCGACTGGCATACCAGCCTCGACCAGCAACGCTGCAGCATTTCCAAGAGCCAGCACAAGAGGGTGCAGTTGTCTATCCCCGACCAGACCTTCGAGTTTATCATCGATCGACGACGACTTGCCAAGCTACTACGGAAATCGCCGCAGCATGGGCCAATGCACCGCGTAGTGACCAGGAGAATTATCAAGGAGATAGCCTACTCAGTCGAACACCCGACAGGAAGCGCACCGTCCAAATACATCGACCAGCACAATACTGGACCCCTGCGACTCGCCATCGAAGCACAGCGGGCGAACATCAACGAGGCCAACGACGAGTTCATCAAGCAGCAAGCCATACGAGCAGCAGAAGCGAGGCACAACAACGAGCCATACAACGAACGGAACCGAGTACCCAAGCTAATATTGTTTGGCGGGCGCAAGCGACGCAAGACGCGGACATGTCGGCGGTGAAGCACGAGGAAGCCGCCCACCACTTCGCCGACATGGAAGCTGCAGCTGCAACAACGCCTACGACATCTGCGACAACACTGCGATGAGAAGCATCGACAATTTTGCCAGCATCGACGAGCTTGAAGAACCCTTGGCACGGTGCAAACTCGGACGAGCTGCAGGGCATCGAAATTACCGGCGACTTTGCCCATGCGGCACCACGAGAGATGGCGCCCCACATGCGCCCGCTAATTTCAAAGACTGCACTGTTCATCCGAGAAGCAGTGGCACACAAAGGGTCACGAATAAGGCACTTCTGGAAAGGAAACGGGGCCGAAGGGACGCTACTCAACCACCGATCGATATCGGTCGCTAACACCATCAGTAAGCACCACTGCAGATATACGACAATGCAGATAAGACTTGTTGCCTGGGCTATTCTTCAGTACTCAGATGAGGGGCCGAAGCCACTGCAGCACGGACTACAACCACCTTATATTGCGACTGACATTCAACCTTGCAGCCGCGGAAGGAACCGTCCTCATCATGACCATGATCGACCTCCACAAGGTAGCCACGAACCTGGTATACGACATGCAGATGAGCACCGACGACATCGACAACCTGATCGACCATATGGATACCCCTCAATGCATGCAGCCGGCCATACAGACCCTCATGATCAACAGCGGCATCGTCAGTACCCACATTGACAACAAGCATATGCTCTCGATGCTGACCGAAGCCCACCGCAACGCGTGGTTCTCCACCGAGCGCGATTCAGGAAACGCAGCACCAAGGCTAGGAACCCGACCAGGAGTACCTTCAGCCGACTGCACGTTCAACGCGTCGATGTCTGCAGTCACGAAAGACGATCACGAGGAGGCGATCAAAGCGGACGCCTCAGTAAGATGACCAGGCAGCCCCCCGGCATTCTGCAATAGTCCTGAAGACCAGCATATGACGATAACATCATTCGTCGTCGACGTGAAAGCTATGGCAACGGTTACCGACGGGTACGCGATCGAGACTACAGTCAAAGCCACGTGGGGGGCACTACGAACGACACTGTCGAGAGGACTCCTCATTGACATCACCAAGTCTAACTTCCTCCTCTTCGCCAACAACAAGGAAGGAAACATAATCGCGAGACACATGCATATCGACCAGAAAGCACACCGACATGGGGATGACAGTGACTATTGCACGAGTTCTCAAAGTCCTGGGCGCAATGGTAATTGATCGGAACGATTTTGCCCAAGAATTGGCAGCACGTGTATTTGCTCTGAAGGAGGCGACCACGCCACTTCGAAAGGCGGTGTTTAAGCGCGACAAGATCACTAATACTGCTAGCATACAATATATCACTGCCTTTGGATACCCACGACTACTACACAAAGCAGGATCATGGGTACCTGCAGAAACGACTGACACGGACAGGCTAGCCATTACATACACAGCAGCCGCGAGGATGGCATCGGGCATTGACCATCATAATTCATCGGGGGAACATCGCCAGCATCGAGGTCATCAGCTGGGCAGGCACCCCGACACTCCCACACAGACTGCGGCATGCAAGGTTGCGACATATTCTACGGACAACGAACGCATGCCCTACTGAACTAGGAGCCCTACTTGACTACGGCATCGAGAACAAAGGCAGATGGTCAACTAAGATAGCAGGTGACCTCCAACAAATAAAAGTGCACACCAGCAAGCACCACTTTACGCCCAACTACGACGACACTCGCCAATCGATTGGCACGGCAAAAGAAGAACCATCCAAACTCAAAAGCATAACTACACACGCCTACAGGACAGCCGTCGAGGTCAATCAAGAAGAAGCAGCCAACACCGCTTGGAGAAGACGCATCAAAGGCATGCGCGACGGCACCACCATCCCGAAGCCCGACATCGCAGACCCACAACATGATCGCAGGTACCTATGCTACGAACGCTGGCAGATCCTGAACGGCAAGGCAGCGTACCAAGAGCACATGCATGCTAAGCACAAACAGCAGGAACACATAATCAACTACACCCACGGGACTATATGCCAGTTCTGTGTGACGGAGTACTGGGCGGTCAACCGATTCTATAAGCACACGTGCGCCAGCAGACAGCGCGCGCCACTTGCCATGAATTTCAGCAATCAGCTCGACGACGACGGAGCCAGCGACCTATACGAAGAGATAAGGCACGCACTACGAACAAGCAAAAACAAAGGACTACCCGAAGATTACGTAGAACGCCCGCGCCTACAACTCTACGGACCACCATTTGCACAACGGACAGGCACAGGCGACGAACATACAACGATGATTCCTGCACCACTTCCCCTTGGCACCGCAAGCAGATGAAGAGCAGGACGAGCGACGAGGACAGACGGAAATGAGCCCAGACACACGATTGTCGTTTGTGCCACATACGGCACGACGCAACTGTCGGTGATACATTGGAGGCAGACAACGTCAGGCCACATCGAATTTGGACGATTATGATCACCACCGGTCAGAATGCCACGAGGGAAGATACTATGCGCATCGTCAACGGCATCGAGCAGCAAGCAAACCTACAACAACGACGAGTACGTATATCTACTATAGCGAACCACACGAGTCAGACGTACAACGACAGAAGTCCTGGGTACACTAACAGTGCGATTCACGAAGCTATGCGGAATGGTACAATCGACGCCATTTACTACAAGAAGTCCACACCGACCCTCGACAACAGCAAACGACTTCGTGATGAGGAAGACTCGTGGGGGAGAACAGACTCCAGCAGAAACTGAATACCATCATGGACGACAACGCGAAGATGCGTGACGCTTTCTTATACATGTACATGCGCATTGCCAACGACGCGGTCTGATGGGCGAACGGCGGGCCTATCTCGACCACCGCCCCACACGAACTATTACACTTGAAGAGCCACAACCTTGTCACCGTGACCGACCGCACGATCGCGAGCAAGCACTTCCACCGCGCCAGCGACGCTGACGACGACGCAACACGAATCATGGCAGCAGAACGCGAAAGCAGCAACAACGACGCACAATGGACAGGATGTATAATTGAATTCGCGACATACTATGACCACTACCACGTCGGGAGCGAGCATGAGCAGCCAACCCAACATCAGGAGACGACACTCCCAGAGAGCACCAGCGCCCAGCGGGCGTCGCCATACACTGCTTCAGGAGCCAGACAGCACAGGTCCCAGCATGGCAGAGACGACGGCTACTCCCAGAATTACCACGACGTCGAATACGACCACAACCACGACCAGCACCTCCTCGACGGCCACCACAACGCGGCAGTGGCGAAGATCAACGCAGACGAGGAGGAGGACCACAACGGTTTTCCACCACAGCGCGCGGCGCCGAATGGCGGCGACATCCCCCTGCATCCCCGCAGCGCTGCTGGCGCCGAAGGGCGGGGGGCAGGGTCAGTCCAAAGAAGGAAATAACAACAGCGAGAGCGGAGCAGCAGGCCACCTCGGCCTGGGCCCTCGCCCATGCGACGGGCGCGTGAAGGACCCCTACGGCAACGCCACGCACATGCCCAACAAAGACACCGGCCCCACGCAGTACAGGGTCGTGAACGCCCCCTCGGCGGCGATCGCGCTGGCCCCCAAGGATGCCCGAGGGGGCGCAGGCGGCCGCGATGGGGGGCGAGGCCGACCTCTGCGTCTGAAACCTGGCCCCGCGGGGGCTGGTAGTAGGGGGCCGAGCAACCCCGGGTTCCCTTGCCTCCCCTTGTCCTCTTGAGCCCTGGTGGCCTTGCCCCTTGCCCCTCCCTCGGGTTCCCTGGGCGCTCGGCCGCCTCGCAGTAGTTTGTGGCCCCCCCCCGTTCCTTCCTTTATGTCTTTATATGTTTGCCGCCTGGCTTTCTCTTGTTGGGGGTGGGGGTGAGGGGGGGGGGGGGCGCGCTCGTGCGCTATCACATGGCCCCCCCCCCCACCATCACCTCCGCGTCGAATGCGCGAGATAGAGATCGTCTTCAACTATGGAGGTGGTGGTCGGGGGGCTAAGTGCCCTAGGCTTTGGCACGCTGTCCTTCGGCCCCTCGGGCCCCGCCTCCTTTCCCCCTCCTCGTGGCCAAATGAGGCTTCCTTGGTTTCCTTCCTGTTCCTCGGCGGGGTCTTGGGTCCAGAGGCTGTTTCCTGAGGATCCCAGCTTCTGTCTCGGCAACCCCGCTGAGATAGAGGGTGGGAAATAGGTCACGATGCGCGTGCTCGGTGCAAATCTGGGCGCGCCCAGAGCGCGCGGCCGCGGGCGCGGGCGCGCGCTGCGGCTACGGCGGACAGACCGCCGCGTGGCCGTCAGTGCGCAGGAGGAGGGGGGTCCTGGCTGGGGTCGGGGGTCGGCGCTGCACTCGCCTCGCCGACGTCCCGCGTGGAGGTAGAGGGCAGCGCATCCTGCAATCGCAAGCTTCGCAGAGGCGGCGCTCTCGCTGCATGTGGGAGAAAAAAAAGCCGCCGGGCCGCGCCTTCTCAGGTGCAGCGGTTGAGGGGGGGATCGGCCCATGGGGGGATGCATCAACGCCCTGGATCGACCGTTGATCGTCGACAGGGGCCACTCCGCCCAGGACCGTGCAAAATTGCCATCGGGGGCCTCTCGCCGATCTGTCGGCGATGCGTCGCTTGTCCAAGGTCGATTTTTCCGCCCCTGATCCGGTTCCCCCCCAACTTGTCCCATCATTATCCCTGACAACCGTGCGTCGTGAACGGAAGCACATGGGCGCTAGCGCCCCGTCCTCGCGCCGCGGGATCTTCGCAGAACGATCCAGCCTACGACGTCGTGCGTAAAAAAGAGATGACGTCGAAGGTGTTGGCCGTACTTACCTTCGCGAGGCCGTGGCTGTTGCACGACGCCGGTTGTCAGGGATCGTCCTCTTGCCCAGTCTCGGCCCTTCGTCCTGGGGCGAATCCGACTTTGGGGAGGGAGACAAATCTGTACGATCGAAATGGTTACGGAAATAATGGGCACGAATGGCTTCCCCACGGCGGCGTGTCATTGATACTGTCTTTGCTACCCGAGACTCCTTACACGTCTGGGAAGGACCAGGGATGGGGCGATGCCTTGCCGAGCCGCGCGAGCCCCGCAGCCCGGCGCAGAGCGCCCCAGGGGCGCCGCCACAGGCGGCCATTCGGGAGGCCTGTTGAGGCCAGCTGGGACTATTCGGGGGGCCTGTTGAGGGCAGCTGGGACCACCTGGGGGTGATGCTTGCGAGCAATCTGGAGCTTTACCATGCCTGGGGCGCTCGTGAGCGAAACAGTCCTTCGCATCCGCGGCCTCTCGGGCCGGGCCCTTGGGCCGCGACCCCGCGGATGACCCGCGCGGAACGTGTCCGTGCGACCGCGTATCCGTGGGATCGTGCCCTAGAATCCAGACCGCGAGGGTACAGATAAGGATATGTTCGCCGCCCTTGGTGGAGCGGCTCCGCATCCTGAGCCCTCTGGGAGGCCCAAGATTGTGTCCCAAGAAGCTGTGCGCGCGTATGTTGATTTGCACGAGCTCCCAACGCGCAGATATTCCAAACCATAGGAATGCGCAATGGACCCCCCGCCCCCCACCCGCCGCCATGTCTCTCTGGTCTATTACGAGTGCTTCTTAGGAAGCCCGGTATACAACTTCTGCGAGGCCCAAGGAATGGGGCAGTACCTTACCGAGCCGCGCGAGCCCGGCCCGCGCGGCGCCCGATGCCCCGCGCGGCGCGCGCCTTGCGGTGGCCCGCGGCAGCCCTGGTGCTGCCGCTGGCCGGGCTCGCGGGCGGGCTGCCCGAGCCCACGTGCGCTGACAACGCCAGTTTCACCGACGTTTGGGGCTTCAGCTGCGCGGACTTCGAGACGGAGAAAGACAACAGCACCCTCCCCTCGGTTCGAGAACAATCACGACGGGGGGGTCGCTATATTCGGTCTCTTGAGGGCCTTCGCCGGGCCTCGGGACTATCAGACAACGACTCAGATGAAGATCCGGTCCTAGGGAATGGGACGAGACTTTTGGGCACCGACGTTATGAACAAATCATGACGCCAGGGGCCTGGGAACGCCATAATTGGCGGCGAAATCCAAACCCTACCCTCGCCGATCAACGATTCGGGCAACTCGATGGGCGGCGGGGGGGGAGGTTCGAAATTCGTCGAACTCGCGGCGAAATCCGAACCCTACCCCCTGCCTCCCATCGGTTCAGGAAAATCGATGGTTGGCGGGGGTCGGGTTGTGCTGTCGCCACCTACAGACTACAGACTTTCCTAGGTCACCCGTGGGGGCGCAAAGATAATCGCGCTTCTCGCGTCGCGGTCTGGGCCAGAGCGACTGCCCGTCTCCGAGGTGACTGCGCGGGGACCCGAGGGCGCGAAGATCACCGCGCGTCGCAAATCGCGGGGCGCGATGCGCGAAGCCAGGTGATCCCCCCGGTGCGCTCCGCGCCCCAGAGGGAGGGCGGCCTGGCGCCGATCCAGGAGATCCGCGCGGACCTCCGGAAAGGCATATCTTCCATACACTGGAAACTTGACCCCGGGAGGCCTGGGGTCACAAACCATGGGCACCCAGGGTATATTAAGTGCCCCCCCCCCTCCTGTAGCCTGCCCCGACGGTCTCCAGAGCCCATCCGCAGCCTTCCCCGAAGCCACGGGACCCACGGTAGAAGTTCATGACGTCCCAGATGGCTTTCAGACTGCTCCAGGACGGCCCAACTTGGCGTCAGGCCCCCGAGACGGCTCCAAGGGCCCCGAGCGGCAAACATCATGCCTTTATTTTAGGAAAGCGTGCGCAAGTTTGGCACATCCATTTTGTGCCTCACCAGCGTCCCTGGCTGTTCCGAGAGGCCCCCAAGAACACCCCAAGGCCGCCGAAGAGGCCCCCAAGAGGGCCCCGAGAAACCCAGGATGACCCCAGGACGGCCAAAGAGGCGCCAAAGACGCTCCCAAACCTGAACAGAGGCCTCCCAAGCGCCCCCCGAGCGGCCCTCCGAAGGTGGCCCCTGGAGCATCCCGGCTGTGAGAGGCCACCAGAGTCTCCCAAGAAGCCTCCAAGAAGCCCCCAAGAGGCCCCAGTAGACTCCCCAACTGGTCCCCATTTGCACGCCTCAAATCAAAGACACCTCCATTCCAGAAGGTATACAAACACTGAGTATACAAACGCTCTCCCCGTCACTTCTCCTCATCCTCTTTCTCCTCCTCCTTCTCCTCCTGCCGCCTCCCCCCACCTTTCTCCACCCCCTCCTTAATCTCTGCTGTTTTCTCCTCGCTGCTCCCTCCCGCTTTCCTCCTCTCACTCTCTTGCTCTCCTTCATTCCCTGCTGCCTTCTCCTCCCTCCACCTTTCTCCGTCTCTTTCCTCCCGTTCTCAGTCCCCCTCCCTCTTTCCTCCTTTGTCCTTCCTCCTCCTTATCCACTCTCTCCTCCTTCGCCTCCTCCTCCTCCTCCTCTTCTTCCTCCTCCTCCTCCTCCCGCTCCGTCCTCTGAGCTCCCCCAGGAGACTCCCAGAGATGTGCAGAAGTTTTACGAGGGCCCCACAACGGTCCCAGGAAGCCCCCAGGCTGCCCCAGGAAGTTTCCAGCAGCACAACGAGGTCCCAAGAGGCCGCCAGAGCGCGCACACAGGGCTTCCAAGAGGTCAAAATCAGTCAACACCCCCAACTTGTTGTCTTTTGTTTTTCTGCAAGTTCCATTGTTGAGGAAGTCTGGCTCCAAGATAGCCTCGGAGGGCCAAATGGTACAGAAGAGAGTTGCACAATTGTCAAAGGTTGGCCCAGGACTGTTGCGAATGCCAATGCTCAATGCGACGTCAGACACAAACGCGTGGGCTTTCAAGCCACGGGCCCGATCCTTTGGACACGGCCCCTGTCCCATGACAATTAGAATCTGAGCGCGCGCGAAGCGCGCGCGCGATGTTTCGAGCATGTGTGTATTATATTCATACATGCAGCCCGATGTTCCTCTAGGACTGGCGCGGCGAGAACTGCTTCGCCGCAGCCGACTGGTGGGAGTACGCGGCCGAGGACCAGGCGGAGCTGCTGCAGGCCTGCGGGGCGAGCTGCGGCGTCTGCCGCCTGGCGGAGTGGGGCCGGCAGTCGGCCACCAGCTTCGCCGCGGCGGTGTGCCGCTCCAGGCGTCGAATCCGTAGCCTTAAGTCGGGCATGTCCCTCTACAGGAGGAATATTCCAAAAAGCAATAGAACACATATGGTAGGGACGATCTTCTGCTAACTTGTTTTGTCAACTTGACATGTTGTTTTATCATGTTCTCGCATTCTTCGAAAATCCGCCTGTAAGAAGATATGCCCGACCTAACCGTAGCCATTGTGGCTCAAGCCCGTAGCGGTCGCTCAGGCGTCAGCAGCGGACGAGAGTATTGCGGCACTGGGGGCGTCACAGACGCACACGGCCTCAACAGCATTCAGACAGATCTGGCGTTCGGGTGTCATCTCCGACGACCTCTGCGTACCCACATCCTTGCCGATTGCCTTTTCAGCGTGGTGCACCTTGGCACAATCATTTTGTGTACTCTTCGTGGGCGCAGCGCGGGAAAGGGAAGGGCAAAGACAAAGGGCAATAAAACACTGAGGGCGACGACTTGTGGCTCGAGGAATACCCAGCCTTTTGGGGACAGTCGCCAAGCATGCGATAGTACGCGGGTGGGTGGATCGGGATGGTGGGGCAATCGTCGTGGCAGTGGCAGACCCATGGTCGAGTGCAGCTTTTGAAGCAGCGAGCTATCCCAGGATCGCCCCAAGTCGAATAAATGGACATGTGTGTGCGGATGCAAATTCTCTCAAGGTGGTATTGTTTCTCCGACTCCTTCTGGGGATACGCGTGGGTGGGGCCAGCCAGCTGGACTTACAGTTGGCAGCGCTCGTCCCCTCCAGTGCCCAGCAGGCAGCTCAGGGGCTCGTGCAGGCCCTCGACGAATCAGCTCCTACACCTCCTATGCAATTGGGAATTTGCCTGCAGCAAACGCCGGCCCGAACCAGGTCGTGCAAGAATCAGCCGCTTGAAACATACAAGGCTGCACGGGCCCGTGCTAAGAGGGTCGAGGGGCAGACAGAGCGGGACAGGCAGAGCGGGACTTCAAGGAGGCGTTGGAGGAGGTGGCCCGAGTAGAAATATTGGATATTGCGTTTGAGACGCGGTTCTTACCAGCAGTGGCGTTACCTACTCCGTGCAGGGCGGCTTCTGTTTATGTCCAGCAGATTTTGGATGGCCAGTTTGAATTGGAGTTCAACAGCGAGTCGCAGCTGGTCGAAGGGTTCTCAGCGACGCTTGGGAGACCCAGCTGCAAGACCTGTCCGAGGCGGTCAAGGCGTCCCGCGGTGCCTCCGAGGCCAAGATCGACGAGCACAATGCCCAGCTTCAGGAGGTCATGAAGAGGGCGGCGAAGATGCGCAAGGCGCCAGAAGGGCCCCCCAACCGAGGGAACAAACCCGTGTTCAGGCCATGGAGGCGGGGTCCCAGCATCCCCAGCATCGGGAGGTGGCTCGCCAGGTCCTGGCCCGCGGGCTGGCCAGTCGCAGCCGCTTCCCCGGCCAGCGGTGGCGGGAGAGAAAGGCGAGTTGGATCTCCAGCAGGCCCGCCCCGAACGAGAGGTGCGGCCGCTAGTGGGCGCGCGCAAACGAGCCAGCAAGGGGCAGGACGGCGGGTCGCGCTCCTGATGTCGCAGCTCAAAGCGCGAAGCGTTTGCGCGTGAGAAACTTCTCTGGCTGGGGTTTGCCGACGAAGGTCTTGCTGCTGGAGAGTCTTCGCGATGTCGTCAAAGATTCCGAAGTACACCTAGCCTAAGGAACGTCGTGAAGTTATTCTTGAGTGGGGCCGCGCAGGCCACCGAGCGGCGGTGGCCCCTTTCCTAGCAGCGCGCGGAGTCAAGCGAGCAGCTGGCATGTCAGCAGGGGCGAATAACATATTCATGTCCAGCTAGTTCGCCATCTAGCCAACAAGCCTAGCTAGCGCATGGGTTTGCGCATGATGGGGGAGACAGAGGCCGCGAAGCAGGTGGGCGCATATATCAGAGATGTTGCGGCATTCCTCTTGGAGATAGGGGGCCAGGCGATCGCAGCGGCGGGGGCCCACCTCGCGGCGGGCCTCGGCCTCGCAAGCCCCAACGCCGACGGGCGGACTCAGTCGGGCAAGCTTCTCTAGAGCACGCGCGCACCCTGGCCGGCGGTTGGGGGCTTCAGCGCAGAGCCGGCCTCGGGACTCACAACATGTGGGGCAGCCATACTTGGGGGAGGGCACGATGCGCGCGGCGAGTGGATCAGATAATGCGTGTACCACGGGGAAGAGCATATTGATCGACGATGTGGCTCTGTCGGCCTCAATGACGAGACTTGTCGAACCCTCCGCGGTTGACGACGCGGCGTGCGCCTACCGGGGAAAGGCCCATTGCGGTCTACATTTGAAGTTGGAGACCCAGCTGCGTCGAGCATCTCGGCGGGTTCTCCCGCTGGCAGAGAGGCGCGTCTAACCGCTGGCCCCCGTGAAGGGGGGTGACCGGCAGAGAGATCGCTCGAGGAAGTTGAAGCTTTTTCGAGGTAGCCAAGCAGTCGGGCAACCGAGACAGCAAGATTCAGTTGGACAAGTCCAGCTCCATCGAGACGGAAATCAGTGATTAAATTCATGGGCCCACCTCCGCTCAGTTCTCTGACGGACGAGGATTGAGGCATGCAGGCCGAACCTGGGCATCGCGAGTTCACGGAGTGCATTGACCAGTCCGACATGGGCATGGCGGGAAGGCAGTGCCGCAATTCTGCGAATTTGAATGGGGATGCCTTGGGCGACGCAAAAGGAGCTCGGGGGCCCAGATGCTTATGGCCGCGGCGACATTGGGCACCTCGCGCACAGGGGCCTCCCCCCCCCCCGGGAGCGCGAAGTCGGCAGGCATGGTCGGCGTCGCAGATCGGCTGGCGGCGGCGCAACCTGCGCCGAAACCAGACAACGGCGCAGTGCCAGAGGCGGCAGCAGAGAAGCCGCAGCCTGCCCTTGGCCATCTGCTTCTCGCGACACCTGCCAGCCCGCAGACCCCGTGGCTCGGGCCAGCGCGCCCCCCTGCGCGAGGGATTTGTTCGCGCCCTACCTGGACGTGGGCGGGGCCGCGCAGGTAGGCCAGGGACCTCCCGCTTTGAGGGCTTCTTCTGCGCGGTGCTAGAAGCGCGCCCCGTGGGCCAGCGTAGGTTTACAGACCGCGCATAGCTGCGCGAGCTTCGGCTGCGGTCGGAGGCCCGGGGGCCCACTTTGGTTCGTTCATCTTGGGATCCTGCGGCCCATAGATGGGCCGCCGTGAGCTTTCCCCGTGGGATCGGGTCAGTCTCCCGCGGGGTTGCGAGCAGCGCGGGCCAAGCGTTTTTTGTTGTTGTTTTTGTTTGTTGAGTGGGCTCGTGGCATGGATGCCCGTGCGCCAGCGTCGCCTCTCTCACCGCCGAGCGCGCAGCTTCGGGCTGATCGGGCGCGGGGGCCGCGCGTTCTCGGAGAAGCTCCGGGCCAGAATATCAGGGATGGCGAGTCCAGTCCCAGGCGGCATTCGATAAGGGCGCAGCGCGCGGCGCATAATTCCACCCGGACTCGCTTCCACGAGCGGTCACGCAACAGGGCGGGGCTGGAGGGCGCGGTCTGCGCAACCGCAACAGAGAAGACCAGTCGACGCGGGGGGGGTCGGGCAAGGGGGGGGGGGCGCGGCGCGTGATTCTTGCTGGAGGATGGCTGTGGAGGCTGGAGTCTGGTCCAGGACGTGGGCGGGCGACAGCTCGAGTCTTCCGGGGGCCGGAGCCCTGCGGCCGAAGGCCCAGTCGAAGGCCGAGCAGAAACCGCGGCCCCCAGTTGGCGTGGAGTGTCTTAGAAAGTTTACCCCGGGGCCGATGGGCTTTGCCTGAGACAGTTCCCCGTGCCGATGGGCTTTGCTGTAGTTGCCGCCCTTGGGCCTGCAGCAGCTGGGAGATTTCCAAGCCATGGTAGAGCAGCGCGTCAGCTGGCCCCAGGCCCCAGCCGGGCTCGTCGCGCTCCAGGTCAAAGACGAGGCCTCCGATCGAGCGATGGGCCCGCTGGCCTGGGCGGCTAGGTTCCGGGGGCGAATGCGAACTTCGGGCCGGGCAGGATGGGCCAAGGAGCGAACGGGGCTGCGGGGCGCGGCGCTCGCAGGCAACTCTGCTCTGCAAGTTGCGCTATCAAGGCTTGTCACAGACGGGCAGGCAGCTTATCCCGGCCTGCCTGACTACCAGAGCGGTAGCTTGCTCTGGGATGTATAAGGTTTCTACGACCGCCTGTGTTGGGTCTTTGGTCCCGGACCGCGCTTCGGAGTTGGAGCTTCCTCTTTGCCATTTGGCCCTAGAGCTCTAGGTCCACGCTGCGGCGCAGGAGGTTTCTCGCAGGCAGCGCGCCCCGGCGAGACTCTAATCGCTCGAAGCAGCGGGGCGGTGGACTTAGGCGGGGCATCTTTGCACTTCGTCCGTGGAAAAAGTAGCCGCTGGACCCCCTTGTCCTTGCCTGCGCGCCTGGGTAGACGATAGCGCGCAGTGCACGCGCTGCAGCAGTGGCAGAGCGTTTGCCAAGCTCTCGAGAGCGGGCTTATAATTAGTCCAGGGTCTGCGCGACAGTAGGCTCCATATTGCTTTGACAACGGGCATCATATCTTCCTCCCGGCCTTGGCTGTGAGACTCAGGGACTTACCCTCGAAGAAGGGGGTGGGAATGCAGGCCGAGCGCGTTGCTGCGGATCTCGGCACTGCTAGAGGCCAGGTTGAAGCGAGGCGACCAAAACAGGCCAGTACAATAGAAGGGGTTGAGCGTAGGCTCCGCCGTCTCTGCAAGCTAGGTCGGGGTAACCGACTGTGAAAGAAATGGCCCCGTAAGATGGCCTTGACCTCGTAGTTTGTCTTTCTTTTTATTCGAAGGCTCGGTATTCATGGCGCCCCACCCAGCGTCGTTCTTGTTTGGCGGAGAGCTCTTTGGAGCTTATTGCGGGAGTTTCCATCCAAAGGGGGACGGTGCCTCATGACTTTGCGTTAGCATCTGGTCGGAGAGATCCTGCCATTTTCGCCATGTTTGACACGATTGATGTTGGTTTCGGATTTTAGCCCACCCCCGTTTCGATGTAGATAAGATTAGGCGCGTCTGGAGGACAGTGCTTGCTCAGATCGAGCCCACGCCAGCAGGTTACTGAATCGATGGCGAGAGGTAGGCGCCCCAATAGCAGCCACCACCGCCACTCTGCCGGACGTGGGTTGGAGACCCCAAAGGGCCTGTGCCTGGGACCTCGGCGAGAGGTTCGCGATCTCATAAACCAAGCTAGGGCGCGGCAAGGTTAATTCGCCGACCCGTTCGGAACCTTGGCCCAGACTAAAGAACGCCAGCTGTGGGCCGCCGCCAAAGCCAATTCGAGGAACGTGTCACGTTTTGAATTGGTGCCAGACTTTTGCGATTCCAATCGTCCGCGGAAGTAGCTGGCTAAGAAGGGCAAGTTTGAACGGCGTGGAGTCTTGCGGGCTGTGGCCACGGGGAGCAGCTGGCCGCGCGCGAGGCTGCAGGAATGAGGGCTGTTGAGGAACAGTGCCTGCACACGTTGTAGTGAGCTTGTTGGGTGCGACGTGCACAGCCTGGTGTTGTCCTGAAAGCAGCATGTTCTCTAAGGTATCCGATTTTGCCCGCAGGCGTGCTTTAGCGGACTGGGAAATTAGTCATAGATGTTGGCTGCGAGAGCTGACGCCGCGCAGCTGGACCGCCATTCCCCCGCCGCCAGATGGGAACGATTCTTTGGCGCATGGGGATGGTGTCCGGGGGGCGGTGGTGGACGGTTTCGTGTTCGGAGGGGGTGATGCTAACGGGGGGCCTGACTCGCAGGACCCCCCCTTCCGTCGTGTCGCCTTGTCTTGGGTAGTTTTTGGAAGCCTACGTGAGAAGGGGGTCGATATAATCCCAGAGAACTCACGGTTCATGTTGTGGGGTCCGGGAGCATGCCTGGTTGGCGTCAATCAGGCAACAGGTGGGAAGCAACGAAATTTCTTCAGTTTTTGAAAGTTGTTATCTTTGTTGCAGAATGATTATTTGTACCCGGCTCGACCTACGTGGCGAGGCAGTTTATTAAGACATGCAGTGCTATCGATCTTGAATCACACTTACATGTGTAGTGGGATATCAAAGATCTCTTGGCTGAGCATCCCATCAGAGGAGTTGACTTAGCTAAGGTTGAAAGTCACAGATCTGCGGATTAAGTCAGCGACCAGGGGGCCGACCCTTATCTTATATATTGAATGTGATGGTGGACAGTATCGCGAAACAGTGGGCTGAGAACGTGCGTGTGCCAACGCAGCGTCTGGACAGCAGGTCCCACGCCCAGGCAATCCTTTTCCAGGTATGCCACTTCCTCGGTCACACTCTGCTTGCTTCGATTGAGGATAATGGGAATCGCGCGCCTTGAGAGGCCACCCTTCGTCGCAAGAGGCGCCAGATTAAGGATCAGCTTCTGCTCATTGCCCACAACGAGTTTGGGGTATTAGCGCCCAGGTCAGGTGCCACACGTGTGGCGGTTGTGCGCCATATAAGATGTCTGATAAGTTTTGAGTTGCCCCGTTCCACCAGTGCTTGTTTAAGGGTTTGATTATGGTGCCCAAAAAGAGCACAGTGGATTGCATTGACTTGCACAGCTCACATACCTTGGCCTACCATAAAGAATTCGAGAACACGGTATGTCTCGTTTGTGGCTGTGTCGCAACGGCAAGCGGCAGTTGACTAAACTGTAACAAAGACTGCCCCATTGGAGCGTCACAGCTTGCCACGAAACTGGCGGCGCAGAAGAAGGTCTTGCGATACACCGTTCAAATTTGCCGATGACTGGAAGGAACAAAACAATATCCAGGCGTCGAACAGGTAAACGAATGCATACATCACACGTGATCGTCAACATAATTATCATCATCACCATCGTCACCACCATCATCATCATCATCATCATCATCATCATCATCATCATCATCATCATCATCATCATCATCATCATCATCATCATCATCATCATCATCATCATCATCATCATCATCATCATCATCATCATCGTTATCATTATCATTATCATCATCATCATCATCATCATCATCATCATCATCATTATCATCATCATCATCAGCAGCAACATATCATCATCACCACACTCCTCCTCCTCCTCCTTCTCCTCCTCCTCCTCGTTCTCTCTGCCTCTTGCCGCCGGCGTTGCCACCCGCCTTCGGAGCAAGAGAACATGATAAAGATTCGTTCCACGATGGCCACATGGTTTCCCAGGATTTCTCAGTTTCTCCAATGCTCCACACATGGTGCGAAACGAGGGCCGCAAGATACTCCAGAATTCCTGGTCCGTATCTTGAGCCAATCGCATCATGATATCGGTCGTACCTTGTTTTTTATTTTTCAGAAATCACACTTTCGGAGTTCCGCTCGGACTCCTTGGATCGGCGCTGGAGCTCCTTGGTGACGCATCCGGCGCTGCCCCTGGCGCTCTCCTCGCGCCAGGGGGCTCCGACGCCGATCCGAGAAATCCGCGCGGACCTCCGAAGGTTCATGTTTATGTCTTAGTGTGTTCCCAGAAGGCTGACGAACGATTCCAACTGCTGCCTGGACACGAGGGCCACGCGCAAGGCCAAGCTCAAGGGAGGAATGGGTGCCGCCATCGCTGCTCGTCCAGGAGAGGCCTCATCGCCACGGCTGGGTTCTCTTCGAAATCCTGGCCAGAATGCACCCCGGGAAATTTCCGAAGTGCATTGGTCAGAGTGAGGGGGCCAAACGGTCATTCGTTGTCTCTGAGTGTGAGGCTGATGTGAGGTTCCGCGGTGCGGACAGTTGTTGCGTTGTTGCGTTGCGTTGTTGCGTTGTTGTCGTCGTCCTCGCCCACGACCCGCCCGCGGTCCACCCGCGACCCACCCCAGAGCCCCGACCACCCCGCAACCTACCCCGCGACCAACCCTGCGACCCACCCAGCGACCGACCCGCGACCCACCCGCGACCCGCCCACGTTTCTTTGACAAATAAGAAAAGCGCCAGCGGTGGGCTCGTTGCATAATCTGTAAAGTGAATCGGCGCTTGCGGCGGGCCTCGACGGAAATGGGAGGGAGAGGGCGGGCCATGTGCCCTTGGAGGGCGGTATTTTGATCCGGGACCCCCCATGGGACCCCCTTCTGGGACCCCCCCCCTTCGAGTAAACACCGACGTTGCTCAGATTGGCTTCCCCTCCGCGTCGCGACCGCTCCCTTCTCCCGAAGGAAGCCGCCCGGGTGCCCCCCCCCGCCGGTATCCGGGTGGGACCCCCTCCCCCCCCCCACCCCCCACCCCCCCCTCGGGGGGAAGGGATACATGGGAACGGGCTTCCCTTAGAGTAAGCTACGAGGTTGCTCAGATTGGCTTCCCCCCCGTGTCGCGGCCGCTCCCCTCCGCGTCGCGGCCGCTCCTCTCCCCCGAAAGGAGCCGCCTGGTTGCCCCCCACCCCACCCCCCCACCCCCTCCCCCCCTGGGGATGAAGGGGCTTCCCTTCGAGTAAGCTACGACGTTGCTCAGATTGGTTCCCCCCCCGTGTCGCGGCCGCTCCCCTCCGCGTCGCGGCCGCTCCCTTCCCTCGAAGGGAGCCGCTCGGGTGCCCCCCCCCCGCGGGTATCCGGGTGCGACCCCCCCCACCCCACCACCCCCTCTCGGGGGGAAGGGATAAAAGGGAAGGGTCTTCCCTTCGAGTGAGCTACGACGTTGCTCAGATTGGCTTCCCCCCCGTGTTCCGGGGGGGGGGGCAGATTGGCTTCCCCGGGTCGTGGCTGCTCCGTTCGCCCGGGGAGAGTCGACCAATCCCCCTCTTGGAGCCGACGTGGCGGTGTCGTGGGCAGCTCCCCCGAGGGAGGGGAGCCGACCACCCCTCCTGGAGCCGACGTGACGATCTCGTGGGCGACGACGACCCACGCAAGATGACGAGACCAGGATACGTCGTCCACACGCCGACAGGGTCGGCGGATTTCTGTTCCCCAGGTCATACGCCACGAGCTGCGCCGGCCCGGCACGCACTGGGACTGCGACAACAGCCTGACCGGCAATTGCTACGACTCGGAGCGCGGGGCGCGCGGGGCGGACCTGCTCTGGGTGCCCGAGGGCGCCGGCTGCGGCTCGCCGAGGATGCTGTACGTGCACGGCGGCTCTCGGGACGATCGAAATTGGTGCAGAAAGAACGGGTAGCACCCCGCAGTTGCGGAGAAGAGTGAGGGGGTGGCGGGGACGTCGGCAGTCTGCGAGGCTCTAAAGAAGCCCGCCGCAGGCGCCACATTAGAAATTATGCAACGAGCCCGCCGCAGGCGCCGATTTATTCGTTACAGCCATGTTGGTGGGTCGCAGGGTGGGTCGCAGGTGGGTCGCGCGTGGGTCTCGGGTGGGTCGCGGGTGGGTCGCGGGCCGGGTCGCGGGTGGGTCGCGTGGGGGTCGCGGGGTGGGTCGCGGGTGGGGGACGACGACAACAAACAGCAACAAACAACAAACAACAAAAAACGAGCACCAGACAACAAACACCACACAGCAAACAACAAACAACAGCAACAGCAACAGCAACAGCAAACCCAACCACAACAACGACAACACCAACAACAACAACATCAGCACCAGCAGCCACAACAACAAACAATCATGTTTTCAATCACAACAACAATGACAACGGCAACAACAACCACAACCATAACAACAACCACAACCAACAACAACAACAACAACCGCAACAATTTCAAGATGTTCGATCTCATCTGCTCGCGCACCATTCAACACGTTTATCACAAACCCTCGATACCCGCCCTCTCCGTCTTCGATCGTACCTGCTGGGGGGATATATCTTTCTTACCTGCAACGTGTATTTCATGCAGCCCCTACAGTGGGTGGGGGCGCGCATCAAGAAACCATATGCTTTTCGTCAGGGTATCCTGGGTTTCTTCGCTCCTCGCGCTGCGCGGTGACTTCCCGCTCCCGTTCGAGAAGTTGCTGCGTTCAGGTTGCTCCAGGTTTCCCTTCAGGTGCACCTCGCGCATGGGTTCTCAGGATTGGGTTTCTTGCGAGGGATTCTTGCGGCCGCGCCCGCACTGTACGGCAGGGGAAGAGAGGACGGACGGAAGAAAAGGACAAGGGGCTAGGGAGGAGGATGCAGCACGAGAGAGAGAGAGAGAGTAGCAGGAGGGGGGCTAGGAGCAGAAAGAACGTGGCAGAGCCAGACGGGCAGATCGGGCGGGTTGACCCTAACAGGCGGGTCTGGAAGGCGCGAGCAGGCGGGTTGCTGAAGCGTGCGTTCTGCATGAATCGCGAGAAAGTCTCGAGAGATAGCGCGATTCCCAAGTAAATCTTTAGAGAAGCCAAAGCGAGAACGTGATTCCTGAGTGTCGAGGGCGCGGCGTCTGAATGAATTGCAACGAAGTCCCACGCGAGAGCGCGATTTGGCAGTTGTTATTGTAACTCTGGGGCCAGGGGCCCAGTCTGGTGACCCGTCGCTTTCTCTTGTAAGAAGCAAGGTGCGAGCCCCGGAAACATGCACCTCAATTGAAAGAACATTGTCTCGGCAAAGCAACCTACCAGCGATGTGTATAAGCATATCTGGAAGCATTCCCCTTAAGATTCAAGTGTGAATCCAGTTGTAGAATTCTGCTGTTCTCGCAGTCGCAGTCGCATTCGCAATGACAGTCACAGTGGCAACGGCCTTAGGATCCAATGGAATCCTAAGGATTCCTAGGGATTCCTAAGGCATCCTTAGGCATCCTTAGGAATCCATAGCAATGCTTAGGAAATCTTAGGAATCCTTAGGAATCCTGATTCTTAGGGATTCCTATGGATTCCTAAGGATTCCTAGGGAACCCTCAGGATTCCTAAGGATTCCTGCGGATGCTTAACTATGCCTACGGATTCCTAAGGATGCCTACGGATTCCTACAGATTCCTAGGGATTCCTAAGGATTCCTATGGATTCCTACGGATGCCTGAGCCTGCCTCAGCCTCAGCCTCAGCCTCAGCCTGCCTCGGCTTGCCTCAGCCTCAGCCTCAGCCTGCCTCGGCCTCAGCCTGCGTCAGCCTCAGCCTCAGCCTCAGCCTGCCTCAGCCTCAGCCTGCGTCAGCCTCAGCCTCAGCCCGCCTCAGCCTCAGCCTGCCTCAGCCTGCCTCAGCCTCAGCCTCAGCCTCAGCCTCAGCCTCAGCCTGCCTCGGCTTGCCTCAGCCTCAGCCTCAGCCTGCCTCGGCCTCAGCCTGCCTCGGCCTTAGCCTGCCTCAGCCTCCCCTCCTCCCCCCCCCTTCCCCCCCCCCATTCAGCCTCACCTTGCCTCAGCTTCGGCCTGCCTCGGCCTCATCCTCAGCCTCAGCCTCAGTCTCAGCCTCAGCCTGCCTCGTCCTCAGCCTGCCTTGGCCTCAGCCTCAGCCTGCCTCAGCCTCAGCCTGCCTCAGCCTCAGCCTGCCTCAGCCTCAGCCTCAGCCTCAGCCTGCCTCGGCTTGCCTCGGCCTCAGCCTCAGCCTGCCTCGGCCTCAGCCTCAGCCTCAGCCTCAGCCTCAGCCTCAGCCTGCCTCAGCCTCAGCCTGCATCAGCCTCAGCCTCAGCCTGCCTCAGCCGCAGCTTGCCCAGCCTCAGCCACAGCCTCAGCTCAGCCTCAGCCTCAGCCTCAGCCTCAGCCTGCCTCGGCTGCCTCAGCTTCAGCCTCAGCCTCAGCCTGCCTGCCTCAGCCTGCCTCAGCCTTCAGCCTCAGCCTGCCTCAGCCTCAGCCTCAGCCTGCCTCGGCGTGCCTCAGCCTCAGCCTCAGCCTGCCTCAGCCTGCCTCAGCCTCAGCGTCAGCCTCTCAGCCTCAGCCTGCATCAGCCTCAGCCTCAGCCTCAGCCTGCCTCAGCTTCAGTCTCAGCCTGCCTCAGCCTCAGCCTCAGCCTGCCTCGACCTCAGCCTGCGTCAGCCTCAGCCTCAGCCGGCCTCAGCCTCAGCCTCAGCCTGCCTCGGCGTGCCTCAGCCTCAGCCTGCCTCGGCCTCAACCTGCCTCGGCATCAGCCTGCCTCTGCTCGGGCATTCAAAATATTGCACAGGACTGGTGTTCTGGGAACACGAAGATCACGAAGTGACCCAAAGGTGGCTCCGGGCAGTCAAAATATGGTACAGGAATGGTTTTCTGGGAACACGAAGAACACGAAGTGACCTGCAGTTGGCTCCGGGCATTCAGAATGTGGCCTGGGAACGGTGTTCTGGGAACACGAAGAACACGAAGTGGCCTACAGTTGGCTCCGGGCATTGAAAATGTGGCCTGGGAATGGTGTTCTGGGAAGACGAAGAGCACGAAGTGGCTTACAGTTGGCTCCGGGCATTCAAAATGTGGCCTGGGAATGGTGTTCTGGGAACAGAATCTGTAGGAATCTATCGGAAACTATAAGAATCTATAGGAGTCCTGGGGGGTCCCTGGATTCCCCGGATTCTCCCGGCACCCGCCCATACCCCCCTGGGGAGTCAAGATGCTCTCTTTTGACCCCACTAGAAACCTATCAGTCTTCGCTGTTAGGTAACAATGTGCCCAAGAGGGGAGGGAATCAATTATATCCGTAAGGGCTTCGCCCCATGCCGCCGGCCCCCTGTCTCGGATAATGGGAGATGCAAAAGCTAAATCAAGAGGTCTGGGCGCCGCCGTGAAGCAGTGTCGGGACCTGTTTGTTTTTCGACCCTGACCCTGCGGATCTGCGTCACGGGTGCCGCTGAATGTCAGAAATGTGGCAAATCCTTTGTGTGTTTGGACCCTGACACGGGTGCCACCGAATTTCAGAAATGTAGCAAGTCCCTTGTGTTTTTGGACTCTGACCTTACGGATCTGCGTGAGGGGTGCCGCCGAATTTCAGACATGTGGCACATCTTTTTTATGTTTTTTGGACCCTGACCCTGCCGATCTGCGTGAGGGGTGCCACCGAATGTCAGAAATGTAGCATGTCCCTTGTGTTTTTGGACCCTGACCCTGCCAATATGCGTGGGGGGTGCCACCGGATTTGAGAAATGTGTCAAATCCCATGTGTTTTTGGACCGTGACCTCGCCGATCTGCGTGAGGGGTGCCACCGAATGTCAGAAATGTGTCAAATCCTATGTGTTTTTGGACCGTGACCTCGCCGATCTGAGTGAGGGGTGCCACCGAATGTCAGAAATGTGGCAAATCCTATGTGTTTTTGGATCCTCACCCCGCCGATCTGCGTGAGGGGTGCCACCGAATGTCAGAAATGTGGCAAATCCCATTTGTTTTTGGACCCTGTTCCCGCCGATCTGCGTGATGGGTGCCACCGAATTTTAGAAATATGGCAAGTCCCATGTGTTTTTGAATCCTGACCCCGCCGATCTGCGGGAGGGGTGTAAATTTGTACCCACCCCAGCAATTCAGATCACGCTCAGGGCTTGGTACAAATTGTCGTTTTGGGCCTCCCCCCCTTGCGCGGTCCATCAACAAGGAACTGTAAGCAGCGAGAAGCAGAATTGTAACAGTAAGCAGCAAGAAGCAGATCTGTAACAGTGGAAACTGGAAGCTGCAACTGGTACAGGAAACTGCGAACCTTAGGCCTAAAGCCTGGTGGCCCCACAAGGGGGCCGGCGGATTTATTTATCAGTCGTGATATTCCAACAACAACAGCAACAACAACAACAGCGCACACCAACACCAACAACAACAACAACAACAACAACAACAACCACACCAACAACAACAACAACAACAACAACAACAACAACAACAACAACAACACTCCGCACCGCATAACCTCACTTTAGCCACGCCTCCAGGGACAGTGAGTGACCGTTCGGCCCCCTCACTCTGACATAGACCGACAGCTGGTTCATTTCGAACAGGACTCGTTGTCGGTGTCGCCGCGGACGTTGCTCATCTGAAACAGCGGCCGATGCCAGTAATTACTGGACAACATTTGTTGTTGGCCACCGTGCCCATTTTGTACGCACCCGTTTCGGGCGTCCAAAGGCTCGTTCCAGTTTTCTTCCCCGCGCACCGACGGCTACGAGGTATTTGCTCCAAAGCTGGCTCGCGCTGGCAGCGTGGTGACTCTCGCGCTGGACTTCGGAGAAGAATGAAGCTGCATAAACATACATGTTCAGAGCTCCGTGCGGATTTCTTGGATCTGCGCTTGCCCTCCCCCCCAGGCCTTGGCGGCGCCTCTGGCGGCGCCTCTAGCGCGCTCCGCTTGCCAGGGAGGGTCCAGCGTCGATCCAAGACATCCGCGCAGAGCTTCGTAAGTTTATGGTTACGCAGCCCATCCTCGTAGGACTACCCGCTGTCGCCTGCGGCAGCCCACAGGCAGATGCTGAACGCGACCCTGGAGGCCTTGGGTTACCTCGTAACGAACGGCCCGCCGGGGTGCACGAACGAGCCGAGCCAGAGCCCCCCCGTGTTCATCGCAGGCGATTCCTCTGGCGGCACGCTGGCATACTCGGCCCTGCTAGCGATCAGCGCGGGGCGGTGGTCGCTCCCGGGCAACGCCAGGGTCGCCGGGGCGCTGCTCTTCTCGCCGTGGACGAACATGCGGTGCGACACGCCGAGCTACCTGCACAACGCGCACGCCTCCGTCAAGCTCCCAGACGGCGGGGAATGGCACAACGGGGACGTGGCTTACAGGGACCTCCCGGCCAAGAGCGTGGCAGACTCCCTCGAGAACGCCATCGAGTACCTGGGCGACAGGGCACTCTTGGACGACCCCGTCGCGTCGCCGATCCTGGCAGACCGCGAAATGCTCCAGGACATGCCTCCGCTGCTGTTCACGGTGGCGTCCAACGAGCTGATCATGGGCGACGCCGTGATCTCGGCGCAGAATGCGGCCGCCGCCGGAGCGCCCGTGATCCTCGACATCTCGGAGGAGGGCCAGTTGGGACAACTGCGGCTCTCCCGCCTGGCCCACACCTGGTCAGAATCGGTCCCTGGACCCAGCCCGCGGTCCATCGTGGCCCGCTTCTCGGGGCGGATCCGGCCGTGGCGACGAGAAGCCTCCAGGATGCCAACGAAGGAGGATAAACGCAAAAGAGGGCCGCCGCTGTCACGACTGGCCCTTCCCCCGAACATCTACGAGGGGATGTGGCACTCCGTGGGGTCGAACCGATCCCCGATGACGACGACGACGATGACGACGATGACGACGATGGCGATGTCGTCGTCGTCGTCGCCGTCGTCGTCCTCGTCGTCATCGTCAAATTGCCATCGTCGTCGTTCTCGTCGTCATCGTCATCCTCACTGGGCCATGGCAGCTCTGCCCCACCCAGGTGAGGACAGGTCCCGCACCAACCCCGGAAGGAGCAGCACACATCCCAGCCCAGGCGACGAGAGAGAAGACGGTGTCGAGTGCGCGGCTACCCGCGCGTGAGTTTCCCGCGTAAGTCGAAGAAGGAAAAAGTGCATGTTGGCGCTCTGCGCGGATTTCTTGGATCCGCGCTGGGGACCCCCTGGCGGCGCCCCTGGCGCGCCCCGCGCGCTGGGGAGGGGGGTCCAGCTCAGATCGAAGAAATCCGAGGAGATCTCCAGCAGTTCATGTTCATGCCGTTCTTCCTTCCTCTAGCACGGTTGCGAGTAAGCTCCCTCTTCTCCACGCGGTGAACCACGCCAGCGGCCCGAATAAGCTGCGACGTAAGGTCGCGATGTCTTCCCGCGTGGGACCCGATCCGTTTCGTCGCTCACCTGGGGAGGTAGGCCGGCCAGTGGGGCCAAAGCCATGCCAGTTCCTCTCGTCCGACGGCGCAAGTTTTCTGCGACGTGGGCCCCATGGTTCTCGACCTCCTCACTGGACCGATTTTTCATCCGGATTCATTCTTGACGGTCCCGGGGCGGGGTGACAGCCGCCAGAGGCAGAAAGCGTCTAAAACATTGTTGTCGCTATTCTTTTTGCGTCGTCCAGATCTGAGGGACGGAGGTGGGGATGCATGTGCATCTTCCGATATCTTCTTCTCCTGTCTGCGGCCCCCAGAATTCCCGACCCATTCCCCAGGATCGCTTTTGCGTTCAGTATCCGTTTTTGGGAAGCGCGGAGCCTGACAACAGGCACTGGAGGCCGAAATCGGACAACAATTTCCGTATTGAACAATCACCTCGTCGCCCAAACAAGTCAACAGCGTGACAAATCACGACCAGGGTCGTAGACACAATTTTTCTGCTAGGTTCTTCAAGACAGTTCGATATGTGAGGGTCTCGGGGCCAGAAACTGGGCGAACATGCCTGGTGCGATCTTCATAAGATGAGGATCGGCCAGACGCTGCCTGCTGGCCAGGCAGCCACGAATCCCGAGCGGCTGCCCTGACAGGTAGAGCAGCGGGGAGTCAGTTGCAGTCCGTGCTCGCGGAGACCCTCGCCCGTCCGCTCGGGTAAGTTAGCAGTCGCGTCATTTGGAACGCTGTCATCCATCCTTGGCCAGACTGCGGAAAAGAAAAGAGTGCTATGCTATACCGCTGCCCAGGCACGTGTTCCCCATGTACTCAGAGGGCTGCGGGTCCGGCAAGCCGCTGTGGCCCGCGCAGCGAGCGCTGCGCCGCGCCGGCCGCTTTCTCCGGGAGGTGGCGGCCACGGGCAGGCCTCCTCCTCCTCCTCCTCCCCCTCCTCCTCCTCCTCCTCCTCCTCCTCCTCCTCCTCCTCCTCCTCCTCCTCCTCCCTTTCAACAAGAGGAGGAAGCGGAGGAGAAGGCGGAGGATGAGGAGGAGGAGGAGGAAACTGTTTTCCTGGGGCTCTCGTTGGAGCCGGCTGGCGGCGAGCAGGAAGGAGGGAAGAGGTTCGAGCAGCTGGGCTCGATCAGTTTGTTGTCTTTTTCGGCCGTTTTCGGGCCCCAGGACCGTCGAAACCGGATATGGGGTGAACGACTGCACCAGATGGACCCCAGGAGGGGTCGGGGGATTGATTTTGAGCGGGTTTGACTTCATCCCCCCCCCCTCTTGACCGATTTTCTCGGAGATCAGCTGCAGTTCAGACCCTGTGGCCACCTTTAACGAGGGAGGAATATCCTTTTCTGGAGCTCTCGGGCCACTGGAATGCCTGGCGGGCGATCTTGGACATCGCTTGTGGGCCGTTGGGCCGCCTCGGGCCTCGCCTAAAAATCGGGTGACAATGATCTACCTACTCTGGATTATTTTGTCATGCATGAAAAATTTTCATCAAGTGGGGGTGATTAACCTTCTGATTCAGCCTGCCCAATCCCGCCCCCCTCCATCATCCTTTCCCTCCTCCTCCTCCTCCTTCTCCTCCTCCTCCTCCTCCTCCTCCTCGTCCTCCTCCTCCTCCAACCCCCCTCCACCCGTCCCGGCAGCACGTGCCCAACCCCCGCAGCGGATCCAAAGGGGGGTGCGCTTATTGCCCCATCCAGAGTACCCGCCTGCCCTGCCCGTGCGCCTTGCACCCGAGGCAGCCGACATTGGCAAGCCCTGAGAAGGGAGAAAATTGTTTGCCAAGGAGCGAGGGCGGACGCCAACGCGCTCGGACAGCCGGCGGGCGCAGGCGGCAACAGGCACTGGAGACCGGTGTATTGGAACACGCACGGGCAGCAATGATTCTCGTTAGCTCAGGCAGCACTCTGAGTCACGCCCCTCGGCTCCCTTGTTCCTTCAGCGGGTTCGAGCCTCATCTCGGTGGATGGTTGCATCTGCTCATCAGGCTCTGGCGCCGAGACCGATGCGACAGATACAAAACCACCTACCAACCCCAAACATTGTTCAATTTCACGGCATTGTTTTGAGGCCGTATTTGGCTGGGTAGGCCTCGAGGGAGAAAACACGATGGCCATGATGAAACTGTCGCGGGACCTTGTCGACTCCGATCATCCCTAAGATCCTGGTGTCGCAGTTCTTCGAGCCGTGCGTTTTCGCCCGATGTCGGGCCTTCGGGCCCTCTCTGATCGATCGTACGGTCCTTGGGTCGAGATTTTTCACAGGTTTGCAATGTTTCGTTACGTCGGATCTCAGGGATGGTACATGCCGCCATCGCCGACTCGCAAGGGTGATCCACGAATCCACAATGACCAAAACCCACGAGCAATGTTAGCCCTAGAGTTCTATAGGGAGGACCGCCCTCCCCGTCTTGGGAGGCGGGGGGGGGATGGGGGGAGCAACGCTTCCAGCGGCGAAAGATTTATCAGTTTTCCCCCGCGGCAGCAGCGGCTACAGCTGCAACGTTTCAGCTCTTGCTGCCTGCTATGACCCGCGTGATGTCGAGAGACGTGGTTTTGGCGATCTCGGGGCGCTAGTGCATGTATTGTCCTTGTCCCCCCGCAACATTATATATACACACACGCGCGCTTGCGGCAGATGGATGGGCGGCGCTAACTAGTCGAGACATGGCCGCAAACATAATGCATGACAGTCGCTATTGTGGCTCAAGGCTAAGGCAATTATTGTCTCTCTCTTTTTTTCGTATTGTGCCCTGAGGGGCATGATCAGGGAGGTTCCGGCGTGGGGGGCGCCGGACCGCCGCAAACCCGCTCCCCCAACGCCGTCCGGCCGGCCCCCGCGCAGATTCTGCTCTCGGTGCGGCGGGCGGCTGGGCGACGCGGAGAGCCTGGCGTTGGCGCGCGAGGGCCAGCTCCTGGAGGTCTGCGAGCTCTGCTACCTCTTCCTCGCTGGCCAGGCAGCACGCCTGGCAGGCGCGGCTGACGCCGGGGGTGATGTTGGACCATGCGCGGCGCCTCACGGCGCTGCTGGCGGCGCTGGCAGGCCTGCTCGATGCCCCCAAGGGCAAGGCGAAGGCCACGGTCAAGGCCAAGGTTAAGGCGAAGGGGGTTGTCAAGGCCTTGGCTCGCGGGCGCGAGCGCGGGGCTCGCCGCTGGGGCGCCGCTGGCCTTCCCTTCCGTCGCGTTGCTGGGAGGCGGAGGCGCTGCCCCGAGCGGCGCGCCTGTGGCGCGCCCAGGCTCGGCCTCAGAGTCCCAGGCGGCGCGGGCCTAGCGGCGTTGGGGCCGCCCGTAACGTAGCGGCTGGCGCTGCGGCGGGTGGAGGCCCTCCTGGAGTCGGGGCCGCGCTCGTCGGCGCCCTCGCTGCAGCCCCCCCATCAGCTGGCGGCGGAGGGCACCCCCGCCGGCGGCCGCCGCGGCGGCGGGCCCTGCTGGTGCAGCTGCGGGGGCGATGGGGCTTTGGCAGGCTGCCGGGCGTGGTGCTGGTGTCGGCGCTGGCGCGCAGCTGGGCGCCCCGCTCGCGGCCTTCATCAACAGCCCGTGGCTCAGCGGGGCCAGCCTGGTCGGCGGGGCCTTCACCCGCGGGATGGCGCTGGAGACGCCGACCCACGACGCCGCTGACCAGGTCGACGGGACAGCCGTCTTCGAGGTCGAGACCTCTGGGGCGCCAGGCGCGGACGGGCCGCGCTTGGCCGTGCAGTTCCGCGGCGCGTCGGTGGCGGCAAGAGCCTTGCAGGTCGACGCTGCGCCTGGTTTGCTCCGCACGCGCAGCGCATGGCCTGCTCCGTTGGCCCGGTTGCTAGGGGCGGGCCCCCTGGCCTGCTCCACCAGCGCAGCGCGGGAGCCGCGGCGCGCCGGGCGCCGGCGGCGGCAGGTCGAGGCGAGCGCCGCGTGGACTAGCTGCGCCTCCGCTCGGCTCGGAGCCTGGCGCGCCCGAGCGCGCCCCCGCCGGCGGGCGGCGCGGGCGGCGCCTCGGCGGCTGCGGCCCCCGCACCTGGGCGCTTGGCTGGAGCTGCGGCTGGCCGGCCTGCAGCGGCGGCCGAGGCGGCGGCCGTTCGGGCGTTCGCGGGCCGCGCCCCCCGGCGGCGCCGCCGCGAGCCGTCTCGTTCGAGCGAGGAAGCAGCCGACGGCGGGGCGCTTTTTCGTTGAGCCTCCTCCCGCGGCGGCGACGTTGCGTCGCTAGCCGACAGGCAGCCTGGCGCGCTGTGCGACGAGGCGATCGAGCAGATTGCAGTCGGAGGAGCATGAAGTATTGATATCGATAGTGTTCAAGAGTTCCAGGTTTTCCAGTCCTTCCGCGCGGGCTCCGGGGACGAATGGTCGAGCGCGTTCCGTCGCGCAGGTTCTTTGCGCGATCTGCGCGGTGCATTTTCGCGCATCGGAGCGCCCTCCCAGATGCCGAGCTGCATTCTGTTTTGCTTTTTGGGGGTCCGCGAGTCGCAGCTGCCGTGGCGCGATGTTCGAGGTGACCCCTTCGAGCGCCGTTCGCGGCAGCGCGGCGCGCGCTGCGCCGAATCGCACTCGGCGCGGCGCGCGAATCAGCCGGTTGCGCTCGTCAGACCGCCTGGGACTTATTTCCGGATTATAGAATTTCTTAAACAAAAACGCTGCCGTTTTTCTTTACGCAAGCGGTTTCGGAATTCTTCAAAAAGGAGTTTGGAAATTGTCATGAAACAGCCTTGAGGGGTGGAATGCGCCCGCCGCGCAGGACATCTGAATAATTTTGAAATCCGTAAATTTTCCAGATGGATTCCGGAAAACTCCAATATCGATTTCGGCATTTTTCAAATCGATTCCAGGATTCCAGAAGTAGGCCGGGCACGCTCATAACGCTCCTGGAAATTTCATATCTACCTTTCGGAGAATGTTGGGGAGTCGCGCGCGACTTGCTTCGCCAGGTCTTCGGAAATCCGCCGAGGCGCGCGGCCAGCGTCGCCCACCGCGCTCGGCAACGGAAAGGGGGGTAAGCAAGTGCCAAATAGCCTTCTACGGGCGACCATCCAATTGCGAATGGGTGACCGACCAGCGGCGCCAGGCAGAGTAGGCTATATTCGTCGCAAAGTGCACCCCGCGCGAAGGCTGTTGGAACTCCTGGAACCCCCAGAATATATCAAAAAGAAATTGCGTCAAAAAGTTTCCTCGTCTTAGGCGCGCGCCGCGGGCCTGCGGGAGGGGTCGAACGGACAGAAGGTGCGGCCTACGGTGCGAGGTTTCTTGGCGGCGATAGTCTTCGGCCACCGCCCGATCAGGTCGATCTGCGAGCGGTCGGTTCGCGAGCTCCAGACGCTCTCGTGGGCCCTCACGCGGGAATTCGTTCCAGCGCGCGGTCGCGGCGCGGTCGCTGGCCGATTGGGCTGCGCAGGTGGAGCTGCTGGTCGCGGTGCCGCCTCTCGCCGCGCTGCGCGAGAGCCGCGAGAGCTCGCGCGGCCGGGCTGACGGCATGCGGCTCCGGTCTGGCGACTTCGCCGCGCTGCGAGGCGGCCGCGAGGCGGCGACAGCCGCGACGGCCGAGCGCCCCGTCGTGCCGGGCCGGCCCGCCGCCGACGCCGTTGGCCTGCGCGTTGGGTGGCTGGCCAGGCAGCCCGCGTTGCGCGAGTCGCTGGATGAGCTGCGCGGAACCCGGCTGCTGTGCCGCCGCGGGCCGACGGAGCCGTGCCACGCCGATGTGCTGCTCGCCGCGCTAGCCGGGTGGGGGGCTGGGAATTGGCGCACTTCCCCGAGCGGCTGCACGTGGTCGCCGGGCTCGTTGCGGCTTGTCACCATAATGGAGCTGATCTCCGAGTGGACACGAATTCTGAGGTTCTTGGCATGTTATTCCCCAGGCAGAATGTTGACGCAGGCGTCTGGTTGTGGACGACGGCGAGGCAGCTGGCGCGGGAGGATTCAACGCCTCGCATCAACGCGCTCGAGTGCGAGGCTGC